TATCGCCATTTTTAAGCATTTGTGGAAAATCTTTACTTTTTCTGAAGTTGTTTTTTGTTATTTTTCAATCATACTTACAGAATATGTTACCAAATGATAAGTCGCCGGAAAAAAGCAATGAGTGAAAATTTAGTCCATTTAATGTAGGTACAGCAATCGGCTAATCTGCAATTTTGTCTGTTATCAAAAATATTACAGCATATTCATCCAGGCCTGTACAAACAATTATTAGTCGGACAGGGTCCATAGTGATGAAATACATCTCGATACTATGGCCTTTTAAAATGTCTATTAGATCATTAAATATCCTGAACAGTGCACCCAATAGGTAAATGAAAACATGTAGATGATATATGCAAACATCCATTTTATAAAACGGATGCGCGGATAATGCCTTACTTATTTTACTTAGGTGACTCGATGCAAGATGCCGTACTCTTCACAGAAATATGCAGAAATGCATTTCATTTATTCATTGAGCAATGGAAATGTTCGAGGTACTGCCGAAGAATACCAAAACGATATCCCCGTAGAGCAGATTTTCCAGATCCGTACATTTATTCGTGTACAATGTACATAGTGCCGATCTAGCAGGATAAATGCATGGGAGACCAATAAGAACAGAAAGGCCGAGGATCAGCGTAGATGCCGAAGATGTGGTACTGTACTTAACTGAAAATGAGCCTTCTAGAAGCGTGCGCCATGTCTCACGGAATACTGGTGTAGCTAGGTCGACAGTACACCGAATTCCACACAGAGAGCAGCTGCACCCGTTTCACATTCAACGTGTGCATGCGCTTCTTTCAGAAGACCACTCAAAGAGAGTCCCGTATTGCAGAAGGATGCTTCAAAAGTACATAAATGACTCGCAGTTCTTGAAAAAATCTTATGGACGGACGAAGCTTGTTTCCGAAGAATAGGAATTTATAACATTCATAACATACATCACTGGGATCAGTAGAATCCACAAACGATCAGGTAGGACCGCTCCTAACACAGAGTCGGAGTTAACTTATAGGCTGGGATAGTGAATAGCCGATTAATTACCAGATAGATTGTGTGGAGAAACTTATTCAAATTTTTTACAACACAATTTACCAGATCTGTTACCTGATATATTAGACAACATGCCAGCCGCACGATGATGTGGTTCCAACACACAATGTACGCCAGGTTGTGTTTTTTAAATCGCACATATTCAGGGCTATGGATAGGGCGAGGAGTAACCATAATCTGGCCGCCTCGTACAGCAGACCTCAACCCCATCGTTTTCTTTGTATGAGGTTATATGAAGGAATTAGAAGACACTTCGAACTTCTCCTGTAAATATCGCCTAATTCGGACACAAATAAGGGCTCTTTTCAAAGTCGCAAACATATTTTATAAAAAAAGGATGACCCTATGATATAGAGGAAATAAAACTTCATCATCACGGTAATGGAATCTAATACTCACATTTAGGTTTCACTATCTTCTATTTGAATTACATAAGGCTGGTAATTGAGCTTACAGGATTAGGTAATGCTGCATTGTTTCAGTAACGCTTTTAACACCCAAAATAACGTCAATGCCGCCAGCGCTTGGAATGATTAGACCTAGAATTTATTAAAATTTGAAGGTTTATTGTCACATAAGTGTTTGCTCATCCTATTTGGAAGGCAGAAGATCCACAAAGGCAGTTAAAGGGTTAAGCTTAAAAAATGGGAATATCCGGATTTAGGGTACCTACAGCATTTTGTTTACTTTGCGCAGAAACTATTTACGATATTTGATTATCTAGTAGGTTTTATGAAAGGTCATTCTATCGAGACGTTTTTCATCACTATGGACACTTTATCCGCCTTTATGAATATGCTGTTAGGTTAGCCGAATGCTGTACCAACATTAACTTGGATTAAATTTTCACTTATAGCTTTTTGCCATTGACAAAATATTTGGGAACATATCTTATGAATTTGATTGAAAAATAATAAAGGACAACTTCATCAAAAAATAGTACAGTTTCAAAAGTAGCGATTTTCAACGAATTCTCCAAAATGGCGATAACTCAAAAACTTGCACTTTCGGATAAGTACATATGTGACATTTGTGATTGCAAATGATCCCCTCCCATCACTCCCTTTCGTTCACTTCATGACTTTTGGAACACCCTGTATATGAGAAAAAAATTTTATTCGATCCTGTTTTAGTTTTTGATCATCCTTTGGTGCAAATTGTCTAGAGGTTTTGACATTGCGTGTTGTATCGTGTTATTTCATTTATCACTAATATCACTTAGGATGTACTTGTGTTGTACTAGAATGTTATACTTATTCATGGAAAGTACTGAGTCAATTAACTTGGCTCCAATTTTCCGGACGTGTGTTAGGAAAAAATGCACTTGATATCCGTACATTGAAAGATCCTATTTAAATTCTCTGCATTTCTACCGAAATAATCAGAAAATATGATTTGTGCGAAAAATAAAAGTGACTCTGCCAATCGCGGTACTATCTTACGTACGGTAGCAGAAAACCACAGTTTCCTGGCATCTGTAAGGGACAGGGTCCTCTTCTAAGAAACCGTCCACCACATATCATTCGCTTGTTTGCTATCCATCATCTGCCTAAAAATGGGTAGACATATACCACATTGATGACTCCTAAAAGCTTGAAACGTTGTATAGGGTTGGCTACGGTCGCAGAAACAGAAAGCAAACATTCAGCCCTCGATAGGATTTGACGGGATTTTATCATTATTTTCATGCCAAATAGATGACATTATTTTCCTCATATCTGAACGAAGCCTAACCTCCATGATATAAATAAATGAAATCAAATGAGTAATTGCCATCTTTTATTTTAGGGAGTACTGTACCTACATCTTTGGCTGCCGGAGAGGCAGTGCCTAAACATGTAGGTGTTCTCAAAGTTCACAAAAAGGATTTCAAAATGATTAACATAGAACTGAAAACCGTAAGGCCATTCATTTATGATGAACTGATAGTGAAGAAGAAAGAAGAAGAGTATAATTATCGAAACGCTAATAAAACTCCATCAGAACTTGCATTAATTGAAGTTGAAAACAAGATTGAGGAGATGATACAGAAGGCTAAAGATCTGGGTATGTTAAATTTCTAATGTGTTGCCCAAAGAAGAGGAGGAAAATTAATTCGGAAACAAAATGCACTAGCTTCTATTTTTTTTTCATACTTGGGAAAAGTGCTGTTCATCTATCAGTCTTATCTCGCGAAGTTAACTTTGCGATGAAACGCTTAATGATTTGGAGAACCTATGAATATATTATTTTGCCGAAAGTGAATGCATCCACAAACTTATTTGACAAACGTTAACAGCTGATAGAATTTGTGATCACTTCACGGGAAGTATTCCCCAGAAAGCATTCCATTTTACTGCGCTCAAGAATTGAACCCAATATCTGAAAAATGTCGGTATTCTGGGTTCCCAATGATTAGTCACGGCGGGAAGGCGGCAGTGTATATTGACTATTTCCGTTAGATTAACACTTTGTTTAAGTTTAATTTTGCTTAGTTTGACTTGATATGCTGCGTCTTCCCAGCTAAGAACATTTCCCATCCGAAAATGCTGCATTTGTAGGTGGTTCATCACTTTACATAGTCATTATAATCTAAGTAATATCTATTTTCTGATAATAGTATCAACTTATATACGTATATACTAGTATGATACAATAGTTCAGATTTGTATCACACAGATTGAGTATAGCCAACCTAAATGAAAAAAGTAGCCACGTTGTAGCCAATTTAACAGACAAAGCAGCCAAATTGTAGCCAAGCCTTTGGCAGTTGATTGCTCATATCTAGTCCAGGCCACAGAGAGCTATTGTTGACTAAATCTCCATCTCAAGGTACAGAACGAAATATAGCTCCCATGAAAACAAAGTTAACATCACTTTTATTTTCGAAAGCGTATAAATATTGTGTACAAAAAACAACTAACGGCAACACCAGTACAGTAAACTTTACTTTTTTTAACACGTTACTGGTACATTATAATACAAATAGGTTAAAACATAAAACCTATACATAATACATATACCAATACCTTTTACCTACAAAACATAAAACAGTATTTGAATTTAATAAATTGAATAATGATATTAAACAGTGTTCGAATTTAAAAATGTTTAAGGTGAAATTGAAAAATCACTTTATGAATAATCCAAATGCATAGTGATGTAATTTTAATAGACAAGAATGTAAAATTATAGAAAATAGATCGACGAAAAATATATAACCAAAACATTATACAAAATTGACATTGTAGCATTAATGCTAAATAAATCTTCAACAAACAAACAAATACCAACGCAAATATCAACACAGTAGGTAAACTCAAAGTTTACATCACATAGTAAGCCTAATTTTTTGAACATGGTTACATTTATGGAGTTACATAATCTTAAATATAATTTGATTCAGTTAGACTACTACAAAGTAGGTACTATGAGCCTTGTCAGACTCGAGCTGCACGCTTTTATACATGTCACTTTTGAAATCCTTGTACATTTGAGGTGTAGGCTCGAATCCCTTACAACACATCTTGTTCACTAGTGAGAAAACGGCAGATTATTGACAAATTAATGTGAGGGAGCTCAATCAATAGAAGCGCGACTGGTCATCCGATTAATCTACGGTATCTTGTATCATACACTGGTGGGGGCGGAGTTGCACAAAAAGGTTAAATGCAGACAACCTAAATGCAAGTCGTTTCAACTTATTATTAGAGGTAGCCAAACTGGTGACGGGTGACCAGACGGTAAGGGAGAGCAGCAGAAAGTTCTCGGAATATCGCTGGGTGTTTCTAACCGGGCGGTCACGATAGATAAATGTTGCGCTGGTCGGCTGAATATTTTTGCCAGCACAAAAGTAGGTCGTTCTGCTAACGTTGCGTTATGGTATTATGATGGATAGGCAATAGGCGTCATCGGAGATCAGTGGACAAGGCGTTTGATTTATTAGAGCATTTGGTGCTTGTATTGACCACTATAGTCCAGTTAAATAGCCGAAACTGCCGCAAAAGTGATAACATAACCACAAAGTTATTTCCACTGGCGTAGTGGTGTAATAAAGGATTGCGAATATTGTTGTATTTGTTAAGCACGTGTAATCTAAACGAAACTATAAGTTCATTCACATGGGGCGGATCCATTGTGCTTAGAGCACAGAACTTCCGCTGGTCCTCGGTTCATGTTTCATTAATCTATACAATTATTTTTTACAATACTATACCTCGATCCACAAAATTGCTATCATATGATGAATTTAAAAAACATGTGAAGTATATAAATTATTTGATAAAATTTATTTGTCACCTCACACAAAAATATTTCCATTATAGCATTCCTTTGTTTCTATAACTGTTACAACTTTATACTTTTAACTCATGAAATATTGAATAGCCTTCACTTATATGTTATATACATCATATTCTTATACACCTATATTTTTGAATTTGTAACCTACCAAATGTATTTATGTTTTTTGTATTGTTTTTCTTTTTTTAGACGATTTATTATGTTGATCTGATAAATAAAAACCTTGACCATCTCACTAAAGCATCTCGAAGCATATGCTTAGACTTGAATCCGGCTAAAAGTACAGTCATGTTATTCGGGCCGAAAAATTGGAGAGACCATTGTGAACCTCTGGTGAAAATAAACCTCGATAATAATACATTAGAAATAATCTCGATAGCGCGTAATTTAAGCTTATACCTTGACAAAAACTTGAGGTTTGAGGATCATGTTAATAAGTGCTCCAGAAGGGCGTATTGTAATTAAAAAAAGACGATATACGGTCAAAAATCTTACATCAACCAAAAAACTAAAGTCATACTATGCAATTCTCTTGTTCTGTCGCATTTTAACTTCTGTGATGTCGTCTATGACAAATGTCTATAGTCAACGCCAAACAAAGTGGCGTGCACGTCATCAAGGTGGGTGTGTTGAAAAATTTACATTGTTGCCAAACTTTTTGTAAAATAATAAAATTTATTATTTACATATCTAAGCAATATTAACCTCAAATGAGAACAAAAATAATAGTATAATAAAATTATAGATCTGTACTTGCATAATCATTAAGTATGACAATTATTGATCAGATGACACTATGAAACTACCATATTTAATTGATAGCTTAAAGGTACTGAATAAAAATCCAAATGGGGTCCTCCAAATTTTATGCATGGTATTTATTTTACAGAATTCATACAGAAAAATGCATTCTAAAATTAGGTAAGCTACTGGTGTAAGCTTTTTCTGTACAATAAAGTTAGTCGGAGTTTATTTCTTCAGCGCTGTCTGAATCTGAATCTTCATCACTCTCAAAGTTGATTATTAAAGGTTCGATGTCTGGTCGATCAAAAATTCGTTCTCTTTCATACCATTTAAAAATTTCTTGCTCAGTATGTCGAACACTATTTTTCCACATGTCTGGGGTAACCGTTTGTAGAGCCTCGTTCCACATATCCAAACAGTCTTTTTCACTGTTACCATCTCTACCAATATGTCTGTTATAGTAACCTTTTGCTATGCCCCAAATTAACTCAATAGGGTTAAATATACAATGGTAAGGAGGCAGACGAAGAACTTTGTGCCCATGATGTTCCGCCAATTCATCAATCACGTATATTTTAGGTGGTTTGTTTCTAAAAAAGCAGTTATTTTAAGAATAGGAATAAACAAAAGAAATATAAACTGTCGACCAAAATATATATAATTAAGAAGCATTATGTACCGAGCAACAATACTCAATAGCTCTGTTTTAAACATTGTGTTTAAAAATGGTATGTTTTGATTTGTCAACCAGTCTTGGATATTTTTTTTTGTCCATGCATTGTTGGGCACTTTGTTCAATATCATGCTGTGATAAGGGGCGTTATCCAGTATAATCATAGATGGACTCTCCAATTTTTCTAATAACTGATGTTGAAACCATTTCAAAAAATTGTCCTGGTTCATCTCTCCATGGTAATCGCTCAATTTTGTTTTCGAAGAAAATATCGCTTCACTACCCTCAATAAACCCATTTTCATTTCCAGCATGTAATATAATGTATCTAAAATATATTAGTTTTAAATTTTATAGTGCAAATTGTGTAAAAGTACATACCTTTTACCATCTGTTTTAATAGCTTTCACGCTTTTTTGGTTTCCATTTTGCCAAGAGCGACCTATGGTCCCATTTTGAAATATCCAAGTTTCATCGAGGAAGACAAACTGGTATAAGGCCTCAACCTTGGCTTGATTGTATTGCCTTAGAAATTCCACCCTTTTCAAAGCTATACTTGGTAGTTCCATGAGCCCTCGTCGCGGATTGTCCTTAAGCCACTTAAATCCAAGATCTCTAAGCAACCGCCTTAAAGACGTGGCACTACCATCAAATAATGCCCTATCTCTTAATCGAGACCATAAAGTTTGTATCGTAACTTGTTCTTCTGAAACCATGTGTAATATGACATTATAATTTAGTTAACAAATTAATGCAAATTTCTGATAAGTTATTATAATAAGATCTTACTTTTGTGATACATATTATAGATCACTTCTCGAATGGCACTTGTATCCAATGTCGCTGTGTTGGTTACACGTTTAATATAACTCCGCTTTTTCTTGGGCGATTCTAAATTTGCATCACTTTTCACACCCTCGGAAATACGACTAACTGTCCTTAAACTAATTTTTAAAGCAGCAGCAACACGCTACAAAAAATGAAATAAAATTTCACTATTATTAATATACATTACATATAATTATTAGTAACCTACCTCTTGAACAGCATTTAAAGGCAACAAAGGCCCGTTGTTGTCCCTTTCTTGCTCAAAGTAGTGCATTAACGAGGCCACGAGTTCCTTACACCGACTATTTAACTGTTTGGGCATCTTTATATACCAAAATTGCCTTTATCTACTCGTAAAATGAATAATTTTGTTTTGAAACAAACAGTTGTTGATTTACAGTATGCGGGGCCAAAGGATTTATAAAGATTTGAAATGCCACAAATTGATTCAGTGTCAAAATTAATACAAATGTCAGTTCCCAGTTTAAATAAGTTTCAAGGTGACAATGTGTCAACGCTGC